CCAGCCCCAGCACTCTTGAGGGCAAACTCCAGCGCACAGAATAGACTTGTATGGATCTTCATCCCTCCATTCACATACTGTCTGTAGCTCCTTCCACCCCGTGTTGGCAGAGTCAAGTTGCTGCAACAGTGTAGGCAATGACCTGTTCACCATCCAGCCCTCTGCAGAAAGTGTGCCAAGCCTTGCTCTAGGACCACAGAGCAGATGAGGATCAGAAGGGGATGCAGGGACAAGCAGAATTGGAGTAACAGGCAGCACAAGGGTGAAAGAGGGCCCGGTGACATAGAGACCTCCTCCAGAGGGTGAAGGTACAGTGGGGGCAGTGAGGGTGGGAGACTGTCAAGAGAGGAGGTCAGAGCCCCAGGAGGAGCCTCTGAAACCCTACATGTGCTGAGAAGAGTGTGAGCTTTGCTGTAAGACAACTGGGCTGGATCCTGACATCATCATGGTTTACTAGTGACTGATCTTAAGCAGTTCACCTCACCATCTGGACCTTTGATTTCACCTTTCAAAGAGAAACTGCTTACGTCACAAGGTTTTGGTTAGAATTTGATGAAATAAGACTGATCAAGTGACTCTGAGCGCTAATACAGTGCTGAGTTTTCCCAGACCCAGGAATTTGACCCTGCTTCTTCCTTTCTAACTATGGGTCCCTAGGGAACACTCTGCCCGTGTGCCTGCTTCCTCGTCCCTTAGAGGAGGAGGTCGCGGGTCCCAGCAGAGAACTGCTGTCAGGACAGAACGCCAGCCCACGCAGGCAAGCGCCCGGCACAGAACCCAGCACCAGGGGCCTGCTTCACTCTTAGCACAGAGTTGTCTGGTGCAGACCTAGATCCCTCGTGGGTACTCGGAACTGCAATCCCCTCCCAGCCTTCCTCCTGTCTATTGGCAGGACCTGGTGCCAGGGATTTACAGTTCACCCTGCTCAAAATTTGCTGGATGGCTATGGGCAGCCATGGGGCCTCTCTAAATGGCTAGATCTTGGCTTATTCAATGAAGGGATTGGTCCAGGTTGTTTCCAAAATCTCCTGGTGATTAAAAAAAAAAAAAAAAGTCTTGGAAACCTTGTATAAAACATCCGGCTTCCCCAACTTCTCTCTCAGGGATTTTGATGCTGGTGGTCTGGCCTGGGACCGAAGTTGGAATCTGTCATTGAAACAAGTCCTTCAGGTGATCCTTGACATCAAGGTGATATGGGAAACACGGATCAATAAGGCTTCCCTGCACAGGCCAGTCCCACAGCCCATGCACGTGTGTGTAGGGTGGGGAGTGGGGGAGGAAGTGTGTCCTTGGTTAATGAAACTGTTAGCTGGGCACTACATTTCAAAAAGACTTCAGATTTTAGGTTGTCAGCTTTCGAGAATTAGTCACCACAGGATCACTTTGACGCCCAGGCAGCCAGCATTGCAGAAGGGACCTGTTTGTCTCTGTCCTCTGACTCATGGCTGATTTCTTCCAGGGACCTCTGTCCCTTCCCAGAAGAGCGCTGAGCCGAGACCTGCAGCTGGCGTATCCTGTCAGCCATTGCTCCGTGTGCCTGCTTCCTCGTCCCTTAGAGGAGGAGGTCGCGGGTCCCAGCAGAGAACTGCTGTCAGGACAGAACGCCAGCCCACGCAGGCAAGCGCCCGGCACAGAACCCAGCACCAGGGGCCTGCTTCACTCTTAGCACAGAGTTGTCTGGTGCAGACCTAGATCCCTCGTGGGTACTCGGAACCGCAATCCCCTCCCAGCCTTCCTCCTGTCTATTGGCAGGACCTGGTGCCAGGGATTTACAGTTCACCCTGCTCAAAATTTGCTGGATGGCTATGGGCAGCCATGGGGCCTCTCTAAATGGCTAGATCTTGGCTTATTCAATGAAGGGATTGGTCCAGGTTGTTTCCAAAATCTCCTGGTGATTAAAAAAAAAAAAAAAAGTCTTGGAAACCTTGTATAAAACATCCGGCTTCCCCAACTTCTCTCTCAGGGATTTTGATGCTGGTGGTCTGGCCTGGGACCGAAGTTGGAATCTGTCATTGAAACAAGTCCTTCAGGTGATCCTTGACATCAAGGTGATATGGGAAACACGGATCAATAAGGCTTCCCTGCACAGGCCAGTCCCACAGCCCATGCACGTGTGTGTAGGGTGGGGAGTGGGGGAGGAAGTGTGTCCTTGGTTAATGAAACTGTTAGCTGGGCACTACATTTCAAAAAGACTTCAGATTTTAGGTTGTCAGCTTTCGAGAATTAGTCACTACAGGATCACTTTGACGCCCAGGCAGCCAGCATTGCAGAAGGAACCTGTTTATCTCTGTCCTCTGACTCATGGCTGATTTCTTCCAGGGACCTCTGTCCCTTCCCAGAAGAGCGCTGAGCCGAGACCTGCAGCTGGCGTATCCTGTCAGCCATTGCCGGCTTCATTTCCTCGAGTTTCTAGAAACCCCTCTCGGCACAGGCCAGGGCTCCAGAAGGCCATGTTTGAGGGAGGCAACCCATTCCAGTATTCTTGCCTGAGAAATCCCAGGGACAGAAGAGCCTGGTGGGCTACAGTCCATGGGGTCGCCTAGAGTCAGACACGACTGAGTGAGCACGCAGGCACGCCACAGCCCTCAGAGGAAGCCCCCAGCGGCGAAAGCCCCCGTATCAAAGGCAGGAGGCAGACTGGTGGGGGCGGCAGAGAGCGTGGATGTGGAATTAGGGCCTGTGGGGGTGGGGTCGGGGAGGCAAGCTGAGCCCACACCTGCCCATCACAGCTGCAAGCCTGGGGGCAAGTCTCTTTGCATGTCTACAGCTGCGTCATCTATAAACACTCCTGCACAGAACTGCCACGGGGTCAAAGGGAGCCTGTTTGGAGCTCCTGGGTGAGCCCGTTGAGGTGTCGTGCGCCTGTGCCATCCACACACGTCACCACTCTCCGGTGCTCTTGAAAGCTGCACCTGCATGCCACCAAGTTTCTGGTGGCGAGACCTAGTTTTTCTTAGCCCCTTAGACTGTGGAGATGCAAATAGCAGTGCACCTGGGGAGTCACTGAGGTTAGGTACCCCTCTTAGCCCTGTTTCTGACCTCAGGATGAAGGCATGAATGCACAGCCCTGTCTTTTGAGGCAGGACAGCCCCAAAGGGTGAGAGTAGATAAGCCATCACTTACCTGAAGAGTGGATGGGGAGGAGACAGCTGGGTGGTGTGCGGGTGGGTTGGAAGAGAGTTCCAAGCAGGGAAGACTCCTCATAGACAGGCCCTGAGGTTTGAAGGAACTTTGCATGTTCAAGGGTGTGAGAAGCGCTCACTGGGGACGGGGAGATAAAAAGAAGCCACCCGCATGGGGCTCTCCAGGGAGGGCATTGGAGCTGGGGAACAAGATACTTTTGTTTTATTTGTTTTTATTTAGGAAATATCTCTTTGTTTCACTGCACTGAGTCTCAGTTGTGGCACTTGAGATCTTTGGTTACGGCATGTGAACTCTCAGCTATGACACGTGGGATATAGTTCCCTGGCCAGGTATCAAACCTGGGTCCCCAGACTTCCCTGGTGATTCAGTAGGAATCTGACTGCCAACGCAGTGGACCTGGGTTTGATCCACTGGTGTGGGAAGATCCCACATGCCAGCCAAGCCCGTGTGCCACAACTACTGAGCTCACACTCTAGAGTCCAGGCTTTGCAACAAGAGAAGCCATCACAATGAGAAGCCCGAGCGCTGCAATGAAGACCCAGCACAGCCAAAAAAACACCTGCCCCCACTGGGAATGCACAGTGTTAGCCACAGGACCACCGGGGAAGTCCCACAAGATAAAGATGATTTGGGGGGAACAGACTGACAGGACCAGGAAGCAGAAACAGAAAGTTAGGTTCTGAGCTCCTTCTCAACATGCTGTTACTTGCAACAGTTCATTTAAGTCTCATGGCATCCTTATGAGGTGGCTGCTATTACCCCTGTTACTCTGGGCCTGGGTAGCCATGAAGGAATGGGGCTCAGGGAGGTGGTAGCTTGCCTAGAGACCACCCAGCTGGTGAGCTGTGGGGTCAGCATTCCAAGTCCCAGCTCTTGCCTCCTTAAGCCTCACTGCCTTTTCTGTAAATAAAACATCTGCACTTAGTGGTCCTTACCTCCCATGTACTCTTCGGCCCCCAACAATAGCACTTTGTCCCCCTTTGGTCTCTGCATCTGCCTCTGCAGTCACCAGGATGTGCTATGTCTATTCTCTAATCCATGCCAACCTCTGATGCTGCCAACCACTACCCCCTGCTCTCCTTGACTCCTGAGACATCACACTCTCCTGGTTCTACACCTGCCCCTCGGCAGCCCTAAGTCCAGCTCCCTGCAGGGAACTGAATTCTACCAACAGGTGAGCTTGGAGGTGGGTTCTTCCCCAGTCAAGCCCCAGGTGAGACCCCAGCCCTGGCCACCTTGAGTGGACTGTAACCTTGTCAGACACCCTGAAGCAGAGGACTCAGCTAAACTGTGCTCAGATTACTGACCCTTAGAAACTCTGAGATAATAATGTCTGTTGACTTAAGGTGCTAAATTTGCACTAATTTATCCAATGGCAATAGGAAATGAAGACATTTAGACTCTCCAACTGTTTAAACAAATGGAGGTGAGCTCTTTCTGCTGTAAGCAGGATGTACACCTAACAGAATGCCCCAACCCCGTGGGACCAGCCCATCTCACTGGCTTCTCCCACACATCTTCCCCTATACCTACTTTTCTATCATTCCTTGAGCCTATGCTTTCTCTGTCTAGAATATCTGTCCCTTTTCTTGACCTCACATTTATACCTGGACTATCTGCAATGACACCGCTTCCACGAAACCCTCTGAGATTGACTCCTGCTGGGGGATTTCACAACTATCTACTCTGTCCACCCATGTCCTGTGACTGTGTGAGCTGAGATCTCACCCACCACTCAGTGCCCTCTATCTCATCTTATTATTGTATACCCAGGGCCTATGACATCATAGGGATGCAATAAATGTGTGTTGAATGTATGCAGAATCCAGCCCAGCACACCTCCTCCACCACGAATGCCACTGCCAGCTGAGGAGTCTGTAACCACCTTGAGTAGAAGACAAGGCCTGGCTTTCACCATAGCAGCCCACTCGAGGAGTGTCATCATATGTTTTTATGTAAGTGGGGAGAACTACCTTCACAGGAGAGCAGATCTGGGCGAATGAAGGGCCCTTTTGTTGTGCTTGGAGCCAGGATGGTTTAGGATGTGTAATCTGACTCCCAGTAGAGCAGAGGGTAGGGGCGGGGAACAGTGGCAAGCACTGGAACCCATGGGGACCACAGAGGTGACGCAGATCATAGGAAACTCCAATCGGGGAAAGGCCAAGGACAGAATATCTGATGTTCATTTTGCAGTTGTCAGCATTGCTGCTAGGGTAGCAAGATTTAGAAAAAAATATTTGGGGCATGTTTGTGTGAAATAAAGATTTAACTGGATGTTTTGGATATTGTTTGGATATATACTTGCTGTGATATAAATACCCATTCCTATAAATTTTCAGTCAAGTCTACAATAAATACTGTGCCTTGTATGATTATATGCTATTTGTGCATATAATTTAAGTAAAAGTCTTTCCCTGAAACTTTTGTTATAAATATATCTCGCAGACTTACTAGGTTGCGAGGTAAAACGTATTTCTGAGTTGTGATCCAATTAGTTTGAAGATCACCAATTTATCAGATGAACACCACAGACCATAACATGGAACATGGAAACTGGGAGAGTAGTCTTTTTCTTATCATCACCCAGAATGTCAGCCCACAGACATTCAGTAAAAGCATACCGCTTGAAGGAATGAAACTAGAGGGTAAGAGAGAGGAAGAAAATAACACATGTCAGAAAACTGATTGGGCAATACTGAGAGCAAGTATGGCCTTATCTCTGTGATTTCTGGGCACTGGGGAAGCAGAAGTCAAGCTGCAGAAGTAAATGGAGATGAGACAATGCTGGCGGAGACTGAGAGGCACTTGTTATGTTTTGCATTGAAAACAAGAACATTCAACATGTGCCCAGAAGTGATGATACAAGAGAAGCACACTCTATTACTGTGCTGTCCAATAGCAGAACCACTAGTCACATGTGGCTATTTAAATGAAGATTAATTTAAAAATGCAGCTCCTTAATCACAGCCGCTGGGCTTCTCAGGTAGCACTAGCGATAAATAATCTGCCTGCCAACGCAGAAGCAGGTTCGATCCCTGAGTCAGAAGATCTCCTGGAGTAGGAAATGGCAACCCACTCCAGTATCCTTGCCTGGAAAACTCCACGGACAGAGGAGCCTAGTGGGCTACAGTCCATGGGGTCCCCAAGAGACACCACTAAGCGACTGAGCATGCGTGCGCGCGCACACACATACGCACACAATCACAGCTGCTAGATGGCTACTGCACTGTGTCTAATGAAGTGTTAAATGGCTACCATACTGCAAAGAGCAGGTAGAGAACATATCCATCATTGCATAAAGGTCTATTGGACAGTGCTGCTCTAGAAAAACATTTAAATTCCTCATGCCCTCGCTGGCTTCAATAAAATAAGCCTAAGTTAAACCAGTGCGCACTCCCCAAAAAACTCCTCCTACCTGAGACATTCTCCAGAACCAGCAGAAAAACTGTTGGGATTCCATTACAATTTATACACAGTGAAATCGCATCAGGTCCCGGTGAATGAGAGTCAACTCTGGGAGAGTTCAGTGGGGACCTCACAGATGCTGCTGGACCTCAGATGTGGTCTGGGGGCAGTCTGGGCATTCCATGTCTTCGTGAAGTTTTCTCACCAAATCCAGAAAAGGCCCGTGATGACTAGAAGCCACTCATGATCTTCTGGACTAAATGAGCAGGGAAAAGGAAGGCTGGGTGTACTGATGGAAGGCATGAGGGTCGTGCTCAACAGAACAGGTTGGAGTATTCAGGCTAGACAGAAAACTGTGAGTAAAAGGCAGTCATCACAGCCAAAGTCCAGTTCTACAAAATTCAAGTGACAGAGAACTAACAAATTCTGTCTGTGATTTCCATGTGTAACATTCATGAATTTCATATGGCATGTTAATAACAAAAAGAAATGTGACAGAAGGCGAGATGTTATTATCCATCAGATCTGTCTACTGAGGCTCTGTTATTAGGGATCCTCCTGACTTGCTGAAGTGGGAAAGTCACTTCTGAAATTTTCAAAATAAAATTTCCAGTGATATGGGAAAATCTCTCTCTTTTTGAAATTACCTTGTTCCAAAAGATATTTTCCCTCCTCTGCTCAATGTAAAGGTGGCTTTTCATCATAAAAAATTGTTTACTTCTGTGATTTATGACACCCTGCATTATCTTATCTTTTCTACAGTAAGATGGGAATTTGGAGGAGGCTCTAAAACCATCTCTGAACCATAGTCTGTGATGAAGCTGATAAAAGGTAAGTAACTTGTCCAAAAACATGAACATGACAAATTCAAAATCCCCTGCAAAGAAAAACATTCTATTCAGTAATATAGTTGGATCGTACAAACATTCTGTTGAATGAGAGAAACATGTTCTAAAAGAATGAAATTTTAAATTCATTTCTATCAAGTTCAAAAGCAGGCAAAACTAGACAATGGCACCTAGAGGTACATAAAGAGGTGATAAAACTATAAGGAAAAGGGGGAAAAAGCTGTTACAAAGGTCAGGAGAGCAGCGCCTGTGGGGAGGAAGAAGAATGATATAATTCCAGGTTCTTGTGGGACTTCTGAGGGACCAGCAAGGTTTTATTGGTTAAACTGGGTGGTAGTTATAACAAATAAGAAAAAGTGAAGTGTACATCTCCTCATCTCATTGATTAAAAAATTACTTTTTAATAGTACAGATGAACCTATTTGCAATGCAGAAATAGAGACACAGAGAACAAATGTATGGACACCAAGGGGGAAAAGGGAGATGGATGAACTGGGAGGTTGGGATTGAAATATACACACTACTGTGTATAAAACAGATAACTGGTGAGAACCTATGGTATAGCACAGGCGGAAGAAAAAGAAGGTAGAGTCTGTCTGTAGGACGTATATTAAGTTAAGCTTAAAAATGCATTCCAACATATAGTAGGTGCAGACAAATACTGTTTGATTTCACTTATATACGAGATTCCTAGAATAGTCAAACTCATAGAGTCAGAAAGTACACTGGTAGATGCCAGGGGCCAGGGGAGCGACAGGGTGGGGAGGGGGATGGGGAGCTCGAGTTTGAGGGGACAGTTTCAGTTGAGGCAGATGGGAAAATTTGGGGATGGATGATGATGAGAGGTGTAAACAAGGTGAACGTACTTAGTGCCACTGAGTGGTACAGTTAAATGTGGTTAAGATAGGACGTTTTATATGATGTGACTTCTACCACAATTTTAAAAAAAAACGCTACAAAATTCTCTTTTAAACAGCTCATTCATTTGGATACATGGATCCAGAATCAGTGGGAATTCCTAGGTGGAGCAGGTCATTTTTCTGAGAATTGAACCTTTCAAATATGGGGTGGGTGGCGTGTGGGCTCTCATGGAGCTCTGCTTCTCCTGGCAGCGCCTCAGTTGCTCTTCCTCTTATTCTACAGGTGCAGTCCTTGGAGGGCTCTGCAGAGATGAGTCAGAGCTCCTGACGGAGTAATCAGCGCCCAAGTGGGGCTCCAAGTCCCAGGCCAGCTGCAGCCCCGCTGCCCGCCTTCCAACTGCTCTACGTATACTGGGAACCCACAAGGGACTTCAGTTTTAATATAACTTTTGATGCTGAAAGAAAAACGTAGGAGATCCCTGGGGTATCAGTTCTCCCTTCAGTAATAGACATACTATTAAGAAATACTAAAATTACTTTTTAAAAAAATTTCTCTTTTCCAGATTATTCACAAAGAAAACTTCCTTCAGGCTTCCCTCTGGACCCTGGACCCTGAAGTCCCAGGTCCTGCTCTCTGACTCCCCACCTCCTCCACTTCCAACTGCACTCTCTCTGACTTCTGGGCTGAGGAAAAGGCTGCTTCCTTGGGGTTGTTGCTCTTGTTCAGTTGCGAAGTTGTGTCTGACTCTCTGAGATCCCATGGACTGTAGCGTGCCAGGCTCTTCTGTCCTTCAGTTATCTCCTGGAGCTTGCTTAGATTCATGTCCATTGAGCTGGTGAAGGTATCTAACCAGCTCATCCTCTGTCACCCCCTTCCCCTTCTGTCTTCAATCTTCCCCAGCATCAGAGTCTTCTCCAGTAAGTCAGCTTCCTTGGAGATTGTGGGCCAATTTCAGCAATGCTGGCTCATCCAGTGGTCTTCTTTAGGAAAGGTGGGGTTCCTCAGAGGTGGAACTCCAGTTCACACGAAGCAGTGTGCATAACTAGACCACAGGAGAAAGGAACTGGGGACCAGTTGCAGCCGCTACACTCTAGATTTTGCAGGGCTAAGCCATGTGCTGCTAGGCCTGAGGTCGCTGTCTAGACTTGTCTGTCACTGGGCCTCTGGGACTTTCCAGGTGGTGCAAGTGGTAAAGAATCCACCTGCCAATGCAGGAGGGGCCTCTAGGAGCCTCTGGCATGAGACCTCTGGCCTCCTCTCTGACCTGCTGGCTTCTAGAGCTGCTGACATAGGAGTCCTTCACCATGCAAGCTGTCCAATCCCAGCTACAGTGAGCTGAGCACAGTGAGAACCAGTCATATGACTGCTTGGGAAGCCAGAATGCAAGGGACTGTGCTCAGAAAGGCTGCCCAGTAGGGTGGCAACTTGGGCTGGAAGCTTGCTGGGCAGCAGCACCAGCCCAGCCACTTGCCATTCAGAGAACAAGTTGCCTCCAGAGCAACTCGCCCATTGTGGCTCCGAGACTACATTCAAAGTCGTGAACGGGATGTGTTATGTAACCCAAGGCAACGGTTCATCTTGGCCTCACTCCAGAACTTCGTGATTAAAAAGAGCTAAGACTATTTACTGAGTTATTACTATATTTCAGTCATTCTATTAAGGGCTTTATGAACATATCTGGGTCAATCCAATTCAGTCCTCTCTAAATGTTAAATATTTTTCCCTAGTTTAATGATATGGAAACTAGTCCATGGAGAAGCTTGGTAACTGTCAAGATTACCCAGGTGAGTCCATGACCGAATGGCCCCATCCAACCCACCCAAGTGTCAACAGCCATCACCCTGTTGCATGCAAAGGGCAAGCCCACAATTGCCGCCATCTGTGGGTTTCAGTATCCCCCACCACCATGTCACCATGATGACATGCTTCCTCCACCACGTTGTTTCCAGTTCCCTTCTCCTCCCAGTCCCCATTACAGTCCCCTGACCTTCATTTTCTGAGGACATTCCCATGTCTTGCTTCTCTACAGGTCCCCATGTAGAGCAAATGTGGCAAATGCAGGGTCCTCACTGAGCCCCTAAGAAACCTAATTTGGGGGACCCCAGGTCAATTCTCAAACTTCTAGACCTGCCATATGTGTGTCTACATGCATGGCTACAGTCTAATATTATATTTTGGACTATAAAGAAAGCTGAGCATGGAAGGATTGATCCTTTTTAACTGTGGTGTTGGAGAAGACTCTTGAGAGTCCCTTGGACTGCAAGGAGATCAAACCTGTCAATCCTAAAGGAAATTAGTCCTGAATATTCATTGGAAGGACTGAACTGATGCTGAAGCTGAATCTGCAATACTCTGGCCACCTGATGCAAAGAACTGACTCATTGGAAAAGACCTTGATGCTGGGAAAGATTGAAGGCAGGAGGAGAAGGGGATGGCAGAGGATGAGATGGTTGAATGGTATCACTGACTCGATAGACAAGAGTTTGAGCAGACTCCAGGAGTTGGTGATGGACAGGGAGGCCTGGTGTGCTGCAGTCCATGGGGCCACAACAAAGAGTCAGACATGACTGAGCGACTGAACTGACAATCCAATATTAGATGACCTGGTGGTATTGCTGAGTTACCAAGAAAGATAAAATTGCCCTTGGTGATTTGTGAGCCTCAGACAAATACTGGAGCTCCTGTGTCTGTTTCCTCTTCTTACAAAATGGTAGTATCACTTGTACAGACCTCACAGGGTTGTTGTGAGAATTATATTAATTAATACACACAAAGTGCTTAAAACTGTGCCCAACTCATCATGTTAGGATTATTACTATAATTGATATTGTCAATTTACTGCTCTCATTAAGGCAGAAAAGTACCTAGTGAATTTTAGAAATAACTCTATCAGGAAGGTAAAATTTTTGAAAGGCTGATACTCAATGGCTAATCTCTGGGTATGTGAGAACCCAGCTGGCCGGGCACTCCTATCGCCTAGGGGCAGGATAACTCAGAGGCGTGGCCCCACATAAGGCCACTGGAGGTGAGAGATAAAGGACCAGGGAGCCCTGGGGTTAGTTTGATCTTTCTCAAATTGCCAAAGATTCCCTAAACAGCAATGCCCCTCCATCCAGTGTCTTCAAAGAGATTGAATAGCAACCACTTAGAGGAAACTTTCTATTTATTTATTTTTAAATTTTCATTTACTTGTGTATTTATTTTTAAATTTTGGCTGTGCTGGGTATTCACTGCAATGCATAGGCTCAGTAGTTACAATTCAAGGGTTTCTTTCTAGTTGCAGCACACGGGCTTAGGTGCCCCATGGCACATGGGATCTCAGTTCCGGGACCGGGGATTAAACCCACGTCCCCTGCACCAGAGGGCAAATTCCTAACCACTGGACCACCAGGGAAGTCCCTAGAGTAAGCTCTTCAATCAGAAAAGCAGCATTGTTGTAATGATCTTGTTCTCTGATGGTTTCATTGCTCCCCACTCCCATCCTTTTGCTACAGTGTCCAAAGACAGATACCAGCCTTCTGGCCTTTGGGTGAAATCAAGCACAGCTTCAACTGCTGATTCTCTGGCTCCTACCATGGCAGGTCCCATTGGAAGAGGTGGGTGGATGACATGGGCTTCCTGGCTGGCTCCATCAAAACTGAATCCAACCTCAAGCTCAAGAGTTGTACTCAGTGGACATTATTTCTATCCTGACCACACTGTTATGGATCCTGCCTATGCTGAACATGGCAGGAATAAAGATTTGTTTTTTTACTAATAATTGGTCCAATTCAAAATGAATCTTTAGACTTCCACTTTCAGCTATTCTTACCCTCTTGCCTGAAACCAGACAAAATATGTGAAAGACATTGGGTGTCAGGCAGTGAAAGGCAGTGATTCCTAAGAGATGAGAAACCAAGGAACTGAGCCTGAGAGGGTGTCATGGGGTTTTGGGGGGTATGTTGGGTGAGGGAGAGAAGACAGCTGATTTGGGGAGAACAGAAATGAATGAGAACATTCCAGGACATAAAATACAATGACTGATGAACATAAACAAGTGTGCCACATGCCCATGGGTTTATAGAACAAACTCTATAAAGCTACTTTTGGTGATGCTCACATTTGTAAAGGGCTCTGTGATTGTTCTGGCCCAAGTTCACGTCAACACCCACACCCATGCCACCACTATAGAGCCTCGCTGGGGCTCTCCCCACCTCGTCTCACCTTGGCCCCTCCCTCCACTTCTTGGTGACCACACTGATCTTTGGCAAATCTGACGTTGTCCCTCACTGGCTCAAACGCTTTCAATGGTTTCCTGCAGCTTCCTTGGTCCCCAGAGCACATATAAACTCATTCCATGAGACCTAGCTCCAAGGCTGAGTTATTCCCAGTCATTCCTTTCAATGAACCCTAACACCTCCATTTTAGTATGATCCACAGTGTGACTCTTGTGTGCCTTTTTTTTATTATTAAAAAAAGTTTTAATTTTTTTGACATGGACCATTTTAAAAAATCTTTATAATGTGTTACAATATTGCTTCTGTGTTATATTTTGGGCTTTTTTGCATGTGGGATCTTAGCTCCTCAACCAGGGATCAAATCCACACCTTCTGGATTGGAAGGTGAAGTCTTAACCACTGGACCAGCAGGGAAGTCTCTCTTGTACGTTTTATACAGTATTTCTCAGGAGCCCACCACCTCCTCCCAGGCTGCTTCTTATCTGCCCTTGGGTCTCCAGGGCCCAGCACGGAGCCTGGCTTGGAGTAAGCACTCTTGGAGCACCTCCTAAACAGAGTTGACCCATTTCTCCCTCATGAGAAGGCTGAGCTCAGAGAAAGTCCCCAGGGCACTCTCATACGTGACATGACCAAGGAGGGCCCTGCATTAATTAGGCCAGGCCTCTCCTGAGCACCCAAGTCTTTCACAGCTGTTCTGAGTCACAAAGGTCACCATGACATCAGGATCAGCTTAGACCTGTGGGCTAAGGCTTCTACAGATGGGCTGACCCAACACCTGCATTTTGCAGATGAAGAATCTGTGGCCTAGCAAGGGCCAGTGTCTGGCCTGAAGCCACATAGCCTCACACTCCAGACTAGGACACAGTCTCCTGAGCTCCAGGCCAGTGTCCTGCCAGTTTTTATACCAGGTTTGATGGAACCAGTGGGAAACTGCTGAGTATTTTCCACATAAAGAGAGAGCTTCACCTCCTCCATCTTCCCTTCTCTCCAGCAGTGGAAGGCTAAGGATGGGAAAAATGGGAGGAGACTTGGAAGGTGATTCAAGGCCAATGGTGGAGAATCTAGAGCTTTCTAGAGGTACCAAGGCATTAGTGTAGGCTTTTCAAACAGGCTGACTTAATTGGAACAGGGCTTCCCACTGAAGTAGGGCTCAGTTGCGTCTGACTCTTTGCAACCCCATGAACTATAGCCCACCAGGCTCCTCTGTCCATGGAATTTTCCAGGTAAGAACACTAGAGCAGGTTGCCACTTCCTGCTCCAGGGGATCTTCCTG